AAATGAAGTTGAGAAGACAATGACAATCTCTAATTGGGTTTGGATGCAACTACTTTGTCACCCTATGGTCAAAAACTTTTGTTTTTAAGAGGCTACTGCTGTGTATGGCAGAGGATCCAGGAGACTTATAGATACTTGACTATATGTAAATCTGTTGTATTTGGGTTCTGCCCTTTTGGTTCTATCTATATATGTGTATGTGTGTCTAAATTATATTTTTTCTCTTCTAAAAGAAAATCAACTCTCAACTGACAAATACAATCAAATAAAAATCAAGGTTAAACAGAAACATTGACCTGAGGGACTGCCGTTCTCTCAATATTTGCAGCATAAGGCATGGGAACATCAGCCCCTGCAATTCTCTCTATGGGTGCATCAAGATACTCAAAGCTCTCCTCAAGAACGGATGCACTAAGCAAATAAATGAACTTTACATGTAAGTGAAAATAGGTGCAGAAAGTGAGTAAGAAAAGGAATAAACAAGAGACATAATAATAAATAAGTATACAGGTATTTCTTTTTCAATAAGAAAATATGTATACCAAATTTCAGCACCAACACCATGTTGAGGAAAACCTTCTTCAACAGTTACCAGTCTGTTTGTTTTCCTTATGGAAGCATTTATTGTATCTCTATCGAGGGGACAAATTGACCGCAAATTTATAATCTGCAAGATGTAAACAGCAAACATTCATTTTGGGACAGAACTAAACCTGATCTTCGAAACCGCTTAGTAATATGTGAAGATTCATAAGTTGTTGCTCATTTACCTCAGCACCGATTCCTTCCTTTGAAAGTATATCAGCAGCCTAAAATATCATCATATTGAGTTGGTTTCACAAGAAAAAGAAATATTAGGCGTATAAAGAAAAAAAATATAAAGCAGATACGACATAGGATAAATAGAAACTTTAGGCATGTTTGATATACAAAATAGATTCAGAAAGAAGCACAAATTTAATAGTCATTATCAACCTTATGGGGCGTTTCTGTGTTTGGTTGATAGGAATAACTATTACAAGGAATAACTATTCTTGAAAAGTTTTAATTGCAATGACATAAAGGAGGTATGAGTCACTATTCCTGACCATGTAATAGTCTTTGAAAATTTAACCCATAAAAATACTAAATTTATCCTTAATGTATCACCCAAATTTCAACTTTCATGCAACTGATTCTAAAACACTCTAGGCTACCTCCAGGCTTCCATGGAAAGTCGTCGAACCTAGCTGCCAAGCCTCTGTTGGTGCTACTAAACCTCTGAAAGTGTATTAGACGCATAAAGTTAGGCTGTGCGGGTATGCTGCTAGGTTGAGCACTATTATTGTGCGTATCGTGTGTAGTTGAAACAAGTCCAGGACCTAGTTAGTTAACTATTGCTATTCTGATAACAATGGTTGTCTTTCTAATCAACAATATAAATGGCTTGATGTAGGAAAATTTAGGGATATCAAAATTATTGGACTTTAAATCTCAACAATCTCAAATTTCTCTCTCTCTCTCTCTCTAATCACTTTCTATTTTCTCTCTCCTCTATATCTCTCAGTAAGTTCTTTTGCTACTATGTAAGTTTGTCCGAGCTAATGTCCATAGCTCTTAACGAAGTGGTATCAAAACCATTGGACTCTGAGGAAACGTGAGCATCTATGTTATTGATTACACAAACCAAAGGAAAGTCAACAGTAGCTGATAAACAGAGGATTTGATAACTTGATGAATCTGTAAAAGAATTTGAGCAAAGGTGGATGGAGTTCAAGACTGAAATGTATGACTCACAAAAGTAAACTCATCAACAGTTCGAACAAATTGTGGTTTTACTGCACAATAATGCACAAGAGTCAAAGACAAATGCTCAGATAAGTCCTTTACTACCAGTTAATTCATCAGATAAGTGTTCATTGCCTACACCGATGGTGCGTGAGTCTGGAAGAAGCAACGACGATAGTCACACAAGGAATGTCAATAATAATCCTTCGCAATTGTAGGTTGAGATACCTTTGCTTGAATGTGTCAATTTCTCGGGCGTGGATTAGGCAATGCATTAAGTTGAGTGCTTCTTTGTGAATGGAACTCCAGATGAGCAGAGACTGGAAACTTCTTTGTTTTTGGGAGAAATTGTTATTGGGTATCAAGGGTGGCTATCTAACATTGTGGAAGAACTGTGCAAAAAGCGTGGATTTAATAAGCTTGCCTATGTTGCAACATTATTGAAGTATCAAAAAACATTTTGAACATCTAAAGGCCTTAATGAAAACGCCCCTCTCATTAAGAAGTATCTTATCTCTAGCTTCTTTAGTGCCTGAAGCCTGAGTTGAGGTCAATGGTTAGATTGTTGAAGACTCAAATCTTGAACCAAAATTGTTATTGGGTATCAAGGGTGACTATCTAACATTGTGGAAGAATTGTGCAAAAGGCGTGGATTTAATAAGCTTGCCTATGTTGGAACATTATTGAAGTATCAGAAACATTTTGAACATCTAAAGGCCTTAATGAAAACACCACTCTCATTAAGAAGTATCTTATCTCTAGCTTCTTTAGTGCCTTAGGCCTGAGTTGAGGGCAATGGTTAGATTGTTGAAGCCTAAAATCTTGAACCAGGCATTTGAGCAAACCTTATTGAAGAGCAGTCAATCATTGAGATGGCAAACAGCCAGCACTTTGCAGGAAAAAGTTCTGCTAATCCGCAAAATGGACCTTGAGGGTGAAATGAGTTATGCAGAACTACCAGTTCTTTTATAACTTCAGACCGATTGAACTAGGAGGGTATGATACCATCTTAAGGGTTGATTAGATGAAGTAGTAGAGCCCTATGATATTTGACTTTGCAAAGTCCACATTGAAATTCAAATATGACGACATGGAGATCTCTTTGAATGAGGCAGGGGAAAGGGATAGGCTAGTAAGGCTGTTGGGGAGTGGAGTGAAGAAGTTGATTAACCAGAAGCAACAAATTGTCGAAGTTAATTTCTCTGATGGTAGCAGAAGTGAGGAGTACTAAGGAGTTAGATAATGTTCAAGGAACAGGCCTGAGAATGAGCAGTTGAGGACAATTTTGGATAAATTCAAAGATAAAATTCAGGGAACCTGAGGGACTGCCACCTCTCAGAGTCTTTGACCATGTCATTCCATTGGTTAAAGGTAGTTCTCCAATAAATATCAGGCTGCACCGTTATGTCTATCTTCAAAAGAATGAGATAGAAGACCAAGTAACCAAAATATTGGAAGACTCCATCAGCAGGCCAAGTAACAGTTCATTTGCTTCAGCTGTGCTGTTAGTTAAGAAAAAAAAATGTTCTGTATAGACTATTGTGAACTTAACTCTCTCACAGTGAAAGAGAAATTTCTAATTCCAATCGTTGATGCTTTATTCAATGAACTTTGTGGAGATTATGTGTTCTCCTAAATTAGTCTAAGAATAGAATATCACCAGATCAGGATGAAGGAGAAAGACACAACTAAGACTGCTTTTAGAACCCATCATAAGCATAATAAGTTCAACGCAATGTCCTTTGAGTTAACCAACAAACCGGCAATGTTTTAAGCCTCAATGAACCATGTTTTCCAGGAATACTTTCAAAAATTCGTATTAGTATTCTTCGATAACATTTTAATTTATAGCATGAATGAAGAAGAGCATTTTGAGCAGCTGGATAAGGTAACAACAGTATTGCGATGTGAGGTTAAGTATTTGGGACACCATCTCATTCCAAGGGGTTAGAACAGACCAAAAGAAGGTTGACTTAATGATTACTTGGCCACAACCAAAGGCATTAAAGACTCAAGGGGATTTTTGGGCTTAACCAGATATTACCGTAAGTGATACAGAACCCAAAATCGACTAATGTGATCAAAAATCCCATCATACAATTTAGTACAAAAATTTAATCGCTAAACAAATTCTCTCTATTTAACTCAAAATCAATATGTGATTGAAAATTAAGGTAATTGGAACAAGTAAATCAGAACTGATAAAACACCACAAGATTATCTCAATAGGTATAACTAATTCTCCACTCAATAAAATGGTTGAAGAACCCCCTCAAAAAGCACTCACAATAGGCAAAAGCTAAAGTTTAAAAAAATGAAATTAAAATTTTATTGATTTTACTTGATTGATTACAACTAATTTTATGATTTTTTTATAGACAAATATTAAGATAATTATAATAGAAATCAAAGTTTAAATTATAGGAAACAAATCTTGAAATTCTATCTAGGACTCTCCAAGAAAATAATAAAGTAAAGGCTTGTAAATTAACATAAATTAAGCCTCTTCACTCTTTGATAGTTGTTGAATTCTTCGAAGTTTGTGGTCGGTTTTATCTTAGAGAATTCTTTTTGTATTTGGACTCTATATTTTTAACGTTGAAGATAACTTAGCATGCAACCAAGTTGAGGTAGACAAGAATTCTTTTCCTTTGATAAAATCAAGGACAATCAGCCACGAGAAGAAAATTAAGGAGAAAATCTAGGAGAGAAAATTTATGAAAAAATCTACAAGAGAAGTGGCCTTGAGAAGAACTTGCCATTTGCATACTTGTTGAATTGGATGCAAACACTCATTCAAGATGAAATTTAAGAAGAGATAAACCAACTAGAATTCTTGAAAGATGAATCCCAAGATGAAATTTAAGAAGAGATAAACCAATTAGAATTCTTGAAAGATGAATCCCGTGAATGTTTTTCGGATAAGAACTCCTTATAACCGATTTGCATGAAGAGAAGAAGAATGGAGGAAAAATTCTCATGGAAAGAATTTCCCTCTCAGGTGGGACCCTCTTCCATGCATATCTCTTGGCTATGTGTCCTAAATTGTAGGAGAATGCATGGCCGAACTTCCTCTTGGCTGAATGGGCTGAAAACTTTTCCTTTTTGGGCTTTTCTCTTGGGTTCAAGATTGTTTTCTTCATGGATCCAACAAAAAATTGGACAGCTTGCTTGAGCGTCTTGGCTCTATCTCTTATGATTGGCCTATTAGGCATCATTATACTCTTCCCAAGCGGCCCAAGTCCGTCATTCATCATGTCAAAGCTTTGTTTATCTTATTAGACTCCACGCGTTGGTGGTTTAGGGCCCAAATCTTCTTGATCATGTGTTGGACAGCCTCGCTCAATACTTGAGGATGAAATGATCTCTTGAATATTTCACGCCATCTAGGATCACATCAGTAAGTTTATTAGAAACTATGGAGTGATTAGCAAACTTTTTATAGACATGATCAAAATGAATGCCTTCCAATGGACTGAAACGATGACTGAAGCCTTTCAGCGGCTTAAGGAAGCCATGGCCATTAGCCTAGCTTTGAGGCTTCCTAATTTTTCCAAGCCCTTCATAATGGAAACAAATTCAAGTAGTAAGGGCATCAAGTCAGTATTAATGCAGGAGGAGAGGACAATTGCCTTCATAAGCAAGGCCCTAATATTCGCAACTAGACAAAATTTACACATGAAAAGTAGCTTATGGTAGTACTGTATGTAGTAACCAAATGGCGCCACTACTCTTAGAGATGGGCATTGAGGCATGTAACCCACTAACCCACCTTAATTCATTTTGATTAGGATGGGTGAATCGCTAACCTGCCTTAACCAAACTCAAATTGGGTAGATAAAGATTCATAATTTACCGAGTATGGAACAGGTGTAGATAGAAAGTTATGAATCCGAAACGAGTATGAGGCAAGTGTGAATTTAATAATTTATACACTCCACACTCGCCCCAGCCACGCTGTTATATATTAATATATTTTTATTTCTACTTTTAATTTTTTCAAGTTAATTATATTTTGATTAATACATATTTGATGTCGTAT